GGACAGCCAGATGTCGGTGAGACCAAAACATGATGTGTTAATGAGAGTCCAATGAACTGTTATGCTTTGTTTATGCTGAAGAAAAGCAAGTTATGTTGTGATGTTCATGGACTGTTGAACTTTTGAATGAATAAAGACTGTCTTTTTATGTTAAAGTCGGCTTCAGGAGTAGTCACTTAGCGCTTACCATTGTGCTATATTCCCCCAAACTATCACAACTTTCAGTGACCAGGACGAATGGAGAGGACGAATCTCTCCTGGGCTTGTACGATACGCACGCCATGGAAGTTGAGTCAAGTGACCTTTGAACCTTTGGTGGGGAATTCTCATCTCTTATGACGAGCAGTATATAAAACTTTTGTGGCTCCGGCTTACCTTGTTCTGGAATCCTTTATGAGGCTTTGTATCTTATTATGAGACATTAAAATGACGTATGACAAGGTAAATATCAGACTTTGTCCCCAGATTTACAACAGTTCAAAGGTGTCCCCATTATAGCGTACTTCCCCTGAAATAGAACACAAGGCCGGTACACTAATCCGTTTCCTTATGACCTGTAACCTAGTGCCCTGGGAGCCTCTACTGAACTTTGTGAGCGTGCCGACCCAAGTGTCCCCAGCCCAGCCAACTGCAGTCCAAGCCACAAAGATAACAGAATGATCCAAATGTGGAAACTGCAGCAAGGGCGCCACACCAGTGCTGATGAGTACAGGAGGATATTATATTGGATGATCAATAATATAATAAGCCAACAGGTTTTCGGGGGCTCACACTCTCCATTCATCAGGGGCTTTAAAAAAGTATATACACACCGATCAGTCACAACATTCTGACACCTGAGAGGTGAACTGCATAACATTGATTATCTGGTTACAATGACACCTGGAAGTGGGGGGATATATTACACTGGTACCTGGAAGGGGGGGGGATATATTACACTGGTACCTGGAAGGGGGGGGGATATATTACACTGGTACCTGGAAGGGGGGGGGATATATTACACTGGTACCTGGAAGGGGGGGGGATATATTACACTGGTACCTGGAAGGGGGGGGGATATATTACACTGGTACCTGGAAGGGGGGGGGATATATTACACTGGTACCTGGAAGGGGGGGGGATATATTACACTGGTACCTGGAAGGGGGGGGGATATATTACACTGGTACCTGGAAGGGGGGGGGATATATTACACTGGTACCTGGAAGGGGGGGGGATATATTACACTGGTACCTGGAAGGGGGGGGGATATATTACACTGGTACCTGGAAGGGGGGGGGATATATTACACTGGTACCTGGAAGGGGGGGGGATATATTACACTGGTACCTGGAAGGGGGGGGGATATATTACACTGGTACCTGGAAGGGGGGGGGATATATTACACTGGTACCTGGAAGGGGGGGGGATATATTACACTGGTACCTGGAAGGGGGGGGGATATATTACACTGGTACCTGGAAGGGGGGGGGATATATTACACTGGTACCTGGAAGGGGGGGGGATATATTACACTGGTACCTGGAAGGGGGGGGGATATATTACACTGGTACCTGGAAGGGGGGGGGATATATTACACTGGTACCTGGAAGGGGGGGGGATATATTACACTGGTACCTGGAAGGGGGGGGGATATATTACACTGGTACCTGGAAGGGGGGGGGATATATTACACTGGTACCTGGAAGGGGGGGGGATATATTACACTGGTACCTGGAAGGGGGGGGGATATATTACACTGGTACCTGGAAGGGGGGGGGATATATTACACTGGTACCTGGAAGGGGGGGGGATATATTACACTGGTACCTGGAAGGGGGGGGGATATATTACACTGGTACCTGGAAGGGGGGGGGATATATTACACTGGTACCTGGAAGGGGGGGGGATATATTACACTGGTACCTGGAAGGGGGGGGGATATATTACACTGGTACCTGGAAGGGGGGGGGATATATTACACTGGTACCTGGAAGGGGGGGGGATATATTACACTGGTACCTGGAAGGGGGGGGGATATATTACACTGGTACCTGGAAGGGGGGGGGATATATTACACTGGTACCTGGAAGGGGGGGGGATATATTACACTGGTACCTGGAAGGGGGGGGGATATATTACACTGGTACCTGGAAGGGGGGGGGATATATTACACTGGTACCTGGAAGGGGGGGGGATATATTACACTGGTACCTGGAAGGGGGGGGGATATATTACACTGGTACCTGGAAGGGGGGGGGATATATTACACTGGTACCTGGAAGGGGGGGGGATATATTACACTGGTACCTGGAAGGGGGGGGGATATATTACACTGGTACCTGGAAGGGGGGGGGATATATTACACTGGTACCTGGAAGGGGGGGGGATATATTACACTGGTACCTGGAAGGGGGGGGGATATATTACACTGGTACCTGGAAGGGGGGGGGATATATTACACTGGTACCTGGAAGGGGGGGGGATATATTACACTGGTACCTGGAAGGGGGGGGGATATATTACACTGGTACCTGGAAGGGGGGGGGATATATTACACTGGTACCTGGAAGGGGGGGGGATATATTACACTGGTACCTGGAAGGGGGGGGGATATATTACACTGGTACCTGGAAGGGGGGGGGATATATTACACTGGTACCTGGAAGGGGGGGGGATATATTACACTGGTACCTGGAAGGGGGGGGGATATATTACACTGGTACCTGGAAGGGGGGGGGATATATTACACTGGTACCTGGAAGGGGGGGGGATATATTACACTGGTACCTGGAAGGGGGGGGGATATATTACACTGGTACCTGGAAGGGGGGGGGATATATTACACTGGTACCTGGAAGGGGGGGGGATATATTACACTGGTACCTGGAAGGGGGGGGGATATATTACACTGGTACCTGGAAGGGGGGGGGATATATTACACTGGTACCTGGAAGGGGGGGGGATATATTACACTGGTACCTGGAAGGGGGGGGGATATATTACACTGGTACCTGGAAGGGGGGGGGATATATTACACTGGTACCTGGAAGGGGGGGGGATATATTACACTGGTACCTGGAAGGGGGGGGGATATATTACACTGGTACCTGGAAGGGGGGGGGATATATTACACTGGTACCTGGAAGGGGGGGGGATATATTACAATGGTACCTGGAAGTGGGAGGGATATATTACAATGACACCTGGAAGTGGGGGGATATATTACAATGGCACCTCAGGTATTCTGAGTGAAGGCCGAGCCAATTCCCTGCCGCCGACTAGGATTGGAAGATTTCTCCTCAACTCTTGTTTTGGGAGCAAATCCAAAATGTTGGATTTCCCCTAAGGTCAGGGCCAATATGTAAACAATAACAGAACGACCTCGGCCTTTGGTGAAGAGTGACTGAAGGCCGAGGCCTGCGCTGCATGGATGACTTACTCATGGTTGACACGTAAACATCAATAGTGTGTAGTCAGTGACGACGGTGCCTAGAACAACCTTGGCCTTCAGGTATTCTGACTGAACACCAAGGCCGTTCCCCGCCTCCGTCTACACACTATTGATGTTTACATGTCGGCCATGAATAAGTCGTTCACGTGGTTCAGTCATTCATGACCGCAGGCTGAGGTCATTCTGTCAATGTTCACATGGCGGTCCTGACCTTAGGGTTCATTTACACCGTACGGATGCAGACCTTAGCACAAACGTACATGCGTAGAGCGTAAATTCCAGTTAAATTCGGACCGCAAATGCAAATTTTTTCATTTTGGTTTTGGCAGCTGAACTCTACCGGCTAAAACAGAGCAATGTGAAAGGGCCCATAGCATGCAAATTGTACGGCCATGTGCATGAGACTTTAAAGGGAATGCATAGTGAATTTTTAGTAATTTTTGCAGCATTTGTGACTTTTTACATTTCCTTTTTTCTGTTGTTACTTTATGAAAGTGACTCCGCTACCGTAAATAAAGGGCATGCAACCAGAGGCCATACCCATAGGAATATGGAGGTTGCTATTTATGACCTCTCTCTGGAAATGCTAGTTCTCTGGCTGTCACCCCGATGCTCTGGCTTTAACACTTTCTGAATGGCTGACCCACATTAAATCACACAGGAGGCCTGACTTCACTGGCTACATGCTTGTTCTGGGTCAGCATCTTAGGAATAATACCAGAGGATCATCATGACAGGCTGTAAACTGGCATTTTCATGAGGGGACAACAGTGGCATCCACTATAGCTCCCAGCTTGGACAGAGCAAGGCAATCAGAGCAGAGCAGTTCTCGGTCCGAGGAGGCTGAACATGGCGGCTCCGCCTCAGAGACACTGGCACAG